AGAATTTTCTTTCAAGCCTGAATACAAAGGAGGAGAAAGGACTGAAAAATCAGTATTAATTGTATTCGTTTTGAAAGTTAAATATAGTCTATAATTGTAAAAGTCAGCGTGTTTGACTTTCTTATAGAAGTTTGAGTTTGACTATTGTTTAATATGTTGACCATATAAATAGAAGGTGGTCTTTGTAATTAGAGATAAGAGAGCTTATTGTAATAATAAGTACAAAAAAGAGGTTTGTCTGAATTGTAAGGATTGACTTTTTCTCTCTATGTTCTTATGAATGTTCTTGAATGCCATATCAAGATTCTGCCATTATTGTGAAGATATGAAGATTGATCAGTGAAATAGGGACACACAGTTATGGCTCAATTAGACTGAAATAGGAGAAATAAGCCCAAGATAACCACTAAGGTCTGAACAAATTAAATATGGCCCATTTAGAGCCATTTTGATCCAATTTGACTCTTTATGGAGAATTGGGACCATTAAAACTCATTAGGGTCTAAAAAGTCTAATTATGACCTAGTTTGAGTCGTGTTGACCCAATTGGACTTCTTAAGGAGAAATAGGCCAATTAAATCCACCAACACCAAATGGACCCTCAATCACTCCAATCAAGGTAAAATTAGACTAATTATCACGATTTTAGCATATTATACCATTAGGGTCTGATCAAACTAAATACGACCCAATTCATGTCATTTTGAGACAATTAGAACCCTTATGGATAAAATGGCCTATTAACCTTAGTAGGGTCTAATCAGATTAATTATGATCCATTTCTAATCATTTTGACCCAAATGACTCGATTATACTAAATACGCCCGGTATGGCTCAATTAGACTCAAATAAAAGAAATAAGCCCATAAGAAATTGGGCTATTAACCTTACTAGGGTCTAATCAGATTAATTATGATCCATTTTGTGTCATTTTGACCGAAATGACTTGATTATACTAAATTGGCCCGTTATGGCTCAATTATACTCAAATACGTGAAATAAGCCCTGATAATCATTAAGGTCTGCACAAACTAAATATGGCCCATTCAGTGTCGTTTTGATCCAATTAGACTATTTATGGAGAATTGGGACCATTAAACCCATTAGGGTCTAAATAGACTAATTGTGACATAGTTTGAGTCGTGTGGACCCAATTGGACTTCTTAAGGAGAAATAGGCCAATTATATCCACCAAAACCAAATGGACCCTCAATCACTCCAATCAATGTCAAATTAGACTAATTATCACGAATTTAGCATATTATACCATTAAGGTTTGATCAAACTAAATACGACCCAATTCGTGTCATTTTGAGCAAATTAGAACCCTTATGGATAAATTGGCCTATTAACCTCACTAGGGTCCAATCAGATTAATTATGATCCATTTGTTGTCATTTTGACCCAAATGACTCGATTATAGTATATAGGCCTGTTATGGCTCAGTTAGACTCAAATAGGAGAAATAAGCCCATTAGAATCATTAAGGTCTGAACAAACTAAATATCGCCCATTCAGTGTCATTTTGATCCAATTAGACTCTTTATGAAGAATTGGGACCATTAGACCCATTAGGGTCTAAAAAGACTAATTGTGATCTAGTTTGAGTCGTGTTGACCCAGTTGGAGTTCTTAAGGAGAAATAGGCCGATTATATCCACCAACACCAAATGGACCATCAATCACTCTAATCAATATCAAATTAGACTAATTATCACGAATTTAGCATATTATACGATTAGGGTCTGATCAAGCTAAGTACGACCCAATTCGTGTCATTTTGAGCCAATTGGAACCCTTATGGTTTAATTGGCCTATTAACCTTACTAGGGTCTAATCAGATCAATTATGATCCATTTGTTGTGATTTTGACCTAAATGACTCGATTATAGTAAATAGGCCCATTATGGCTCAATTAGACACAAATAGGAGAAATAAGCAATGATAACCATTAAATTCTGAACAAACTAAATACGGCCCATTCAATGTCATATTGACCCAATTAGACTCCTTATGAAGAATTGGGAATATTAAACCCATTAGGGTCTAAAAAGACTAATTATGACCTAGTTTGAGTCGTGTTGACTCAATTGGACTTCTTTAAGTCATTAACCTTACTATGGTGTAATCAGATTAATTATGATCCATTTGTAGTCATTTTGACCCAATTAGACTATTTTTGGAGAATTGCGACCATTAAACCCATTAATGTTTAAAAAGACTAATTGTGACATAATTTGAGTCATGTGGACCCAATTGGACTTCTTAAGAAGAAATAGGCCAATTATATCCACCAAAACCAAATGGACCCTCAATCACTCCAATCAATGTCAAATTAGACTAATTATCATTAATTTAGCACATTATACCATTAAGGTCTGATCAAACTAAATACGACCCAATTCGTGTCATTTCCAGCAAATTAGAACCCTTATGGATAAATTGGCCTATTAACCTTACTAGGGTCTAATCAAATTAATTATGATCTATTTATGGTCATTTTGACCCAAATGACTCGATTATACTAAATAGGCCCGTTATGGCTCAGTTAGACTCAAATAGGAGAAATAAGCCCATGATAATCATTAAGGTCTGAACAAACTAAATATGGCCTATTCAGTGTCATTTTGATCCAATTAGACTCTTTATGGAGAATTAGGACCATTAGACCCATTAGGGTCTAAAAAGACTAATTGTGACCTAGTTTGAGTCGTGTTGACCTAGTTGGAGTTCTTAAGGAGAAATAGGCCGATTATATCCACCACCACCAATTGGACCATCAATCACTCTAATCAATATAAAATTAGACTAATTATTACGAATTTAGCATATCATAGCATTAAGGTCTGATCAAGCTAAATACGACGCAATTCGAGTCATTTTGAGGCAATTGGAACCCTTATGGATAAATTGGCCTATTAACCTTACTAGGGTCTAATTAGATCAATTATGATCCATTTGTTGTCATTTTGACCTAAATGACTCGATTATAGTAAATAGACCCATTATGGCTCAATTAGACTCAAATAGGAGAAATAAGCCCATGATAACCATTAAATTCTGAACAAACTAAATATGGCCCATTCAATGTCATATTGACCCAATTAGACATTTATGGAGAATTGGGACTATTAAACCCATTAGGGTCTAAAAAGACTAATTATGACCTAGTTTGAGTCGTGTTGACCCAATTGGACTTCTTTAAGTCATTAACCTTACTTGGGTCTAATCAGATTAATTATGATCCATTTGTAGTCATTTTGACCCAAATGACTCGATTATACTAAAAAGACCCATTACGGCTCATGTTGGGTCACCTATTGATTTGGTGATGACCCATTGATCTGTTCCTGTACATTAGCAACACTTAGTAGTTATTGGTTCTTTGTATATTGGTGTCTTGGTACATACTTAAGCCAGTGGCAAAATCGAAGACTAGCCGATGTGAAGACAGAAGGTCACCGATGGGTTTTGTGGATCAATTGTGTAATATATACACCAGGACTCCAAAGTAGCTGAAATTAATATTGAAAATATTTTGATGCTACAAGCCGAATGAAGGAAGATCTTCATAGACCGAAGATTGAAAATCTTCATGNTCATAGACCGAAGATTGAAAATCTTCATGGACTCAAGATTGAAGATCCTGGACTGAAGATTGAAAATCTTCATGGACTCAAGATTGAAGATCATGGACCGAAGATTTGTGAGTAGCTGCTTGAAGCTACATATCCATCCAAAGGAGATCTTCCTACAGACTGACCATATCTCTGCAAACTTTGTCTCTGTATGCACGTTGTGTACGATGAAAATGAGATGTCAACATTGGTCAAGTCAACCCCTGCCATCTTATCCTCAAGTGACAAGTATCCCCATGCATTAGATGCTGAAGGTAGTATAAAAAGGCAGTGTGCATCTCCCATGCACACCACTGGCTTTTGCAAGATTACTTAGTGAATTCTCAAAGCAATCGACTATTCCCTTCTACTCCCTTGCTCTCCTGTGTGCGAAGAAATGCTCAGTGTTCTTCATTTCCTTTCATGAACTCTCTGTGTTGTTCTTGAAAGTTCTTCTTCTTGTAAGATTGTTTAGGTTAGGTTTTCCTTTCCTATCTTCCGCAACAATCTTGTATATTTCTGTGTGTATTAATTATAGTTATAAATCAATAAGAATTAAAAAGTTGAAAAAATTATGTGTAATTGTATTCAACACCTTTCTACAATTACTTTCTGTTTATTGCCATCCCCTTCAGGACTAACAAGTGGTACTAGAGCTGTTAGCTTAATCTCATAAGCTAGATCTGCAATGGCCTATTCTTCTTCCAACTCTACTCCTTCTTCTTACCAAGACAATGCACTATTGCCAAGCCTCCCAAGTTTAACAAGAACAATTTCTATATGTGGAAAAGTCGCATGACACTATACCTTGAGGGTGTTGATAGTCAATATCTCTCAATCCTCAAGGATGGACCCATTGTTCCTAAAGTATGGCTTCGTCATGGAAAGAGCAAAGACGATGGTAACTCTTCAAATGATTCTAATGATGATGAAGAGAAATCTGACTCTACTAGAAGGTTCATCATCAAAGATCCTTATCAGTACAATGAAGACGATAAAAGAAAAGTTTCCTTAGATACCAAGGTAAGGGCTATCATTGCCCTCTCTCTTCCTGATGATGTCTTCCATTCCCTGGTAAACCTCTCTACTGCCAAGGACAAGTGGAACACTTTATGTGTTCTGTATGAAGGAACCATTGAAGTAAAGAAAAGCAAGAAGATTGGCCTTGTTAGGCAATATGAGCTCTTTGTGCACGGGAAAGGTGAATCTCTCACTGAGTAGTACAACAAGTTTAACAGCCTTCTCAATAATCTGAAGTTTCATGGCAGAGTCTATGAAAACGAAGAAGTCCTATGCAAGTTCATGGACTGTTTACCTGACTTCTGGGAAAACATCTGCACTTGTATGAAGACAAGTAAAGATCTTGAAAATATGCCTCTTACCGCTCTTTATGGAACACTCCATAATTATGAGCAAACCAAGCTTCTCAAAAAGGCATTATTGAAGGATCCCAGAACTTCTTCTCCTATTTCCCTTCTCTCCAACGATACGAGGAAGCCAGTCAGTAAACTTCGTGTCACTTATCTATCTGACACTGAAGAAGATGCTGTCAGAAAAGAAGAACTTGCTGAAAGCCATGCTAATGATGCTGATGATGAGCCCTCAGTTAATGACTTGGCAGACAACATGGCCATGAAGGCTACCAACTTCAAAAGGTATGCCAAAAAGGGCTCTTCTACCTTCTCTCCCAGATCTAACGTTACCGACCGAAGAACCTTAGATCAATCTAAGTCAGTTCCTCTTGAACTGTAAAATGAGGAGTGCTTCAACTGTGGCAAGAATGTCACTTTCCTGCTGAGTGCAAAAGCAAAAGGATCTCTAAGTGTCATCCTTCTCATCTCTCTAGTCGATCCTCTCATGATAAGTACAAGGCAAAGTATAAGAGAGAAAAGGCAAAGAACCTGAGCCTTCAGAGAAAAGGTAAGGGTCTCATTGCTGAGACTCATGACTGGATTGATGAGCCAACCTCTTCCTCCAGTGATGAGGAGATGGCACATCTGTGTCTTATGGCCAACATCCAGGAAATAGAAGACTCTGTCAAGGACTCCTCCTCTGCTGCTGTTGATCTACCTTCTACCTCCAAGGATGCCAAATACCTGGTCAAACCAAAGAAGGTAAACAACTTCTCTTCTCTCTCTGAATCTGAAAAGGTTCAAGCTTATGATTTTTTATCTGTTAATCTCTACAATGCTAGATCTGCTAAGAAGAAAGCTGACCTTGAAATCAAAAGTCTAACTAATCAGTTACATAAATGCATGAATAAATTGAAAGACTTTGATAAGTTAAAAAATGACCTGAAAGAACAAAAGTTAATAAACAATGTTCTTAACAAAGAAAAAWCTAARGTCTTTGAGAAGCTGGAGAAAGAAAAAGCCATTCTTCAAAAATGGGCTAGATCATCCAAGAACCTAGATAAAATTTTACATGATCAACTTCCTATTGAAGTAAAGACTGGCCTAGGTTATAATGATATGGATCCGTGTGCTCCTAATGACTCTATGTGCATTTCTTCTCACATTCTTTCTTCCTCCTCTCCATCTCACTTATCTGTTTCTGTTGGATCTCTTTCTCGTAGATGCAATGAAAATGGAAAATCTCTTAAGTTCGGAATTTTTGTCAAAGGTAAAAGTTCAAACACTGAATCTGAGAATGTTCCTGTCGACTGTGTGTTTAACTCTCTCTCTCTCTTAAGGAATCTTCTGATGCATGTTCTTCTAAATCTAAAACATCTGAGCATCTAAAGCATCCTTTGAATCGTCGTTTCATTGCGGCTGAGAAAGGAAAGTATGTGGACAAGCCCTATCAAGAATAAGAAGCCAAAATCCAAACTGAAGATGAAACATAAGCCTTCAGCTACCTCATCTCAGTCAACTGTTGCTTCTCAGAGTGGTACCTCAGTACCTTCTATTACTGAGTTTGTTTCTAGACCAGTTTCCTTGAAAAAGACTTCAAAGATTTCTACCTTCTCTAAGAAACCTATTCCTGAGTCTGAAAAAGGGATTCTTGGTCCAAAACCTATGCATCATCTGTCCCTCCTCCCAAAGCTTCTTCTTCTCTCAAAAAATCCAAAAAGCATGTTAACACAGTTATGCATACACCTTTAATTCCTATTAAACCTGTGTTTATTTATCGAAAATGTTATAACTGTGGTGATACTTTTCACATGGCCAAGAACTGTCCCAAAAAAAGAATCTCTAGGCCAGTAAGAGAATAGAAAAAAGAATATACTCCTAACCCCAATGGACCCATTTTAAAATGGGTACCTCGAAACTGATTTATCTGTGTTTGTAGGGCTTAGGACACCGACATATATGGTACTTGGACAGTGGATGTTCAAGAGACACAACTGAAAACAAGTCGCTGTTGATCAACTAGGTGTCTGAACCTGGTCCTTCTGTAACCTTTGGAGATAATGCCAGAGGTACTACTAGAGGATATGGTGTTCTTTCTAACAGCTCGGTTACCTTCAATCGAGTAGCTTATGTGGATTGACTAAAGCACATTCTGTTAAGGATCAGTCAACTATGTGATCTCAACTTCAATGTGAAATTTGAAGAAAACCAGTGTACTATTCTTGACTCTTCTGGCAAGAAGGTATTAACTGGTATCCGAAAAGATAATGTCTATGTGATCAACATGGACTCTTCTAGCTCTTCCGACGCCAACATCTATTTCTACTCCGAGGCTACTGCTGATCAAAATTGGCTAYGGCATAAAAGGTTGTCCCATCTCAACTTCAAAACCATCAACAATCTTTCCAGTATAGATCTGGTTATTGGACTTCCGAAGATGTCATATGTTAAAGTGAAACTGTGTGCTTCTTGTGAAAAAGGCAAGCAAACCAAGGCAAGTTTCAAGTCCAAGATGTGCTCTTCTATTTCTGCTCCTTTGCACATGCTCCACATAGATCTCTGTGGTCCTGTGAGTGTTCAAAGTTTGGATGGAAAACGTTATACTCTTGTTATTGTGGATGAGTACTCAAGATATACTTTGGTCTTTTTTCTTCAACACAAGAGTGATGCAGCTGAATAAATTATCAACTTTGTGAAGCGGACTGAAGTCTTGAATGTTCAACTTGTCAGATCAATTCGAAGTGACAACTACACTGAATTCAAAAACAGTGTTCTTGAAAGCTTCTTTGATGACAAGGGTATTTCTCAAAATATCTCAGCAATTCAGACTCCACAGCATAATGGAGTTGTTGAAAGGAGAAATCGTACACTATGTGAAGCTGCACGTTCAATGCTAAGTGAAGCAAGTCTTCCGACCTATTTTTGGGCTGAAGCTATCAATACAGCTTGCTTTACTCAAAATAGGTCTATAATTGTGAAAACACACAATAAGACTGCTTATGAAGTATTTCATGGTAGAAAACAAAACTTCAGCTTCCTTCATGTGTTTGGTAGTGCATGCTATATTCTGAATGACAGAGATCACTTAGGAAAGTTTGATCCTAAATTTGATGAAGTAATCTTTGTTGGTTACTCTCTCTTCTCTAAAGCATACCTGGTGTACAACATGTGCCGTTAGTGCACTGATGAATCTGTCAATGTCAGATTTGATGAATCTGGATCAGTGCCTGCAACATCATCATTTCAATGTGATGATCTTGAGCTCAATAAGTGGTTGTTGGAATCTCACTCCTCAGAGAATTCAACTCCACTCAGTGGACCTTCACATTCTAATGGAAATGATGTTCCACCTGTTGAGAAAGATGAGAATAAAGATCTTTCATTCAACATGAATGTCCCATCAATCAGTCTTGAACAAGAACCAGCCGATCCGGCACCTCTTTCCTGTGTTGAACCCTCAACTGGTGTTGATGTTCCTATCTCTTCTACTAGGGACATCGGTGACGCAACCTCAGTAGTTGTCTATTCTAATCCTCTGACGAATGCTGATGGTGCCTCTACCTCTCTTCCTCTTCCTCTTCCTCTTGCCACTAAGTGGAAAAGAGATCACCCAATAGAGACAATCATTGGTGATCAGCAAGCAGGTGTCCAAACACATCGTGGTGCTGGTAATATCTATTTGTATGTCAATTTTCTATCTCTCATCGAGCCTAAAAGGATTGAAGAAGCACTTGATGATCCTACCTGGATCAGTGCCATGCAAGAAGAACTGCTACAGTTCGAGCATAACAAAGTTTGGAGACTGGTCCCCCGACCAACCAACAAAACAATTATTGGTACAAAGTGGATCTTCAGAAATAAAATGGATGAGAACGGAATGGTGACTCGGAACAAAGCCCGACTCATTGCCCAAGGATACAGGCAAGAGGAAGGCATTGATTATGATGAGACATTTGCTCTAGTAGCAAGGTTGGAAGCCATCCGAATCTTCCTTGCCTATGCTGCTTTCAAGAACTTCAAAGTTTTCCAGATGGATGTCAAAAGTGCCTTCTTGAATGGAAAACTTACTGAAGAAGTCTATGTGAAGCAACCTCCAGGCTTTGAGGATCCTAAACATCCAGGATATGTCTATAAATTAGACAAAGCTTTGTATGGTCTCAAACAGGCTCCTCGTGCATGGTATGACACTCTCTCTACTTTTCTTTTGGAGAACGGCTTCTCCCGTGGTAAAATTGACAATACCCTCTTTCTTTGTAAACATAAAGGTAATGTCATTCTTGTACCAATTTATGTGGATGATATCATATTCGGTGCCACAAAAGAATCTATGTGTAGGAAGTTTTCAAAACTCATGCAAAGTAAATATGAAATGAGTATGATGGGTGAACTCACATTTTTCTTGGGTTTGCAAGTTAAGCAATCCGACAAAGGAATCTTTATAAATCAAAGCAAATATGTTAAAGATCTTTTAAAGAAATTTGATTTTTATGAGTGTTCTTCCATGAAAACTCCAATGGCACCCCCTTGAAACTGAATGCAGATATCGATGGCAAATCGGTAAATGTGACCAGTTATAGGGGAATGATCGGCTCCTTACTTTATCTTACTGCTAGCCGACCAGATATTATGTTCTCCACATGTCTTTGTGCAAGATATCAAGCGAATCCAAAGGAATCTCCTTGGCAGCTGTTAAGCGCATTTTCAGGTAACTTAAAGGTACTCCCAATCTGGGTCTTTGGTATCCCAATGATTCCGGTTTTGATCTAATAGGTTTTTCAGATTCTGATTATGCAGGTTGTAAAGTTGACAGAAAGAATACAACTGGTAGTTGTCAGTTGTTGGGTGGAAAGTTAGTCAGTTGGACTAGCA